TTATCAGCCCTCTCTCTCTCTCTGAAACTAGGCTCTGTGTTTGGTGCTCTCCTCTCTCAAAAGCCACGCAGGGACATCTGTCAACGCGGGACCTCCGTGACGATCCAGTGTGAGGTCGATACCCAACTCACCTTAATGTTCTGGTACCATCAGCTCCCAGGACAGATCTTGATACTGATCGCAACTGCAAACCAGGGCATGGAGGCCACTTATGAAAGTGGATTTACCAAAGACAAGTTTCCCATCAGCCGCCCAACCTTAATGTTCTCCACTCTGACTGTGAACAACCTGAGCCTCGAAGACAGCAGCTTTTACTTCTACAGCGCTGGAGACAGTGCCCAGCACAGATCAAAGATCTGAGCAAGAACCTCAGCTAGCTCCCTCCTGCCCGGCTCCCACCCAGATGAGCCCGAGGCCCCAGTCAAGGCAGGCCGGCAGGGCAGAACCACAGCTCCAGCTGTTCGCGTGCTTTTCAGCAGGTCTGGGTGTGAATGTGTTGACTGGCCACGGGGAGAGAATCTGCAGGACAGACTGCAGGACGAACTACAGGAAGTGTGGCAACCAGGAGGCTGAGGATAAAATTTCTTCCACAAGAGTGTTGAGAAGTACTTGGTAAAGACCATCGGATATAGTTTGCCTTCAAGTGGCAGGGTCAGAAATGACCTCTAACTATTTTATCTCAAGACTCTATTTAGCTTGCTTTCCATCAGTATAGAAGGCTCTTGATCACCTTGATATCATACTGGTCCATTAGACCGATGGCATTATGCCGGGTGTTCTCAGGGAGTAGGAATTAGTGCTCGTGATGCCTCAGTGTGACGTATGCATGCCAGACCAACGTAAGGTCTGCAAAAGTTCAGGGAGCTGCCATATCGATGAGCTTCTGAGTAGCCCAAGATCTGGGACATGTTGGATTAAACCCTGTGAAGTGAGAGATGAGCTGCTGAACCTCACACCATCTGCCAAGTAGAAAGAGCTGCAATGCTTAGTGAGTCTCTCTGGACTTTGGAGTTACCATACACTATAGTTGTGGTCCATTTTTTGTGTCACCTGTAAGGCTGGGGCAGTGTGAGAGGGGGTTCTGTAGCAGAACAAGGCGTGATTAAAGCTGCCCTGGGCCATAAACCAACACGGCCCAATGGTTCTTCAAGTGCCTGTGGCAGATAGGGATTCTCTGTGGAGCCCCTGACATTCCCCAATAAGAGAATCACTAAGCAGATGCAAAGAGTTTTAATGCAAAGCCACACTCTTCAACCTGCCAACAACTTCATTTCCTTTGAAAAGCTGCCCCTAGGTCTTGATTTAATGCATCATCATGACATTCAAACTGTGTGTTGGCTGACCCTCAAATCTATAAGGCTGGACATGCACAGAGTATTCTGTTATTAACTGGTAAATATATGGGACCAGACTCAAGCACAGCTGGAGGAAGGCACAATTCTATTTCAAAAGCAAGCGTGAGTCTCATGGTACCCGCTCCAACCCACTTGCCTTCACTGTCTATCCACACCCAAGGGTGCATGGGGATTTCCTATTTCCAGGTGAAAAAGCACGGGCCTGTTTTCTGCATCGGGTTGCACGTTACTCCGGAATCATCCACAGAGTCTAACACAAGTGTGGTTTCGAAAGGGAGTGGTGAAGGGAAATCCTCTCAAGGGCCACAACTTGAGCCTGTAAATCTGGATGTTCACATTTTATGGGAGGGGCGATGTCCTGGGGTCATCGAGACATCTGTCACATGTTCATCTAGACTGTTCTCTTGCATTTTCTCTCTCTTTGCTTCTGTACTACATTCTGGGTCCTTTCTTTGGAACTACTGGCCAGTTTACTAATTCACTCCTCTGTTCCAATAAGCCATTCAACCCTTCTGTCAACTTTGTTTATTTAAATTATATTTTCATTTCTGGTAAATCTACTTGGATCTTTTACAAATATGGGTGGTCATTTCTGAAAGCATCTTGCCCCTTGTGTATTTTTAAATTATTTTCTTTGAGGATATTAAATGTCTGCTTGGAATTTTTATCTGTCAATGCCAACATCTGATGATGTTTTGCATCTTTTTGTTTGTTTCTTTGTACCTTCTGCTGATTGTCACTCAGGGTGGCTTATTTTTTTATGTATTATATAATTTGATGTTGTGTATTACATAACTCATCTTTGGGAATTCCTTAAAAAAACAACTTCATTGTTTTCCAGGAAATATTTATTTTCGCTTCTGTCAAGCAATTGAGTTGTAACAGACCCAATATGTTTAAAAAAAAAAAAGATTTTAAGGCTAAGAAGCCTACAAATTCACCTACAGATAAGCCTCAGATTGCCAGCACCTGATATTGCAGAAAAATTGTCTCTTAAGAAGCAGTACCGTATCATGAGAGGAACTTGGTCTCCATCATCTGGCAGACCTAAGTTTAAAACTTGGCGCTTGGGTGGCTCAGTTGGTTAAGTGGCCAACTCTTGGCTTCAGCTCAGGTCGTGATATTAGGGTCCTGGGATTGAGCCCTGAGTCCGGCTCCGCACTCAGCAGGGAGTCTGCTTGAGGATGCTCCCTCTCCCTCTGCCCCCCCCCACTCGCTATCTCTCTCTCAAATAAATAAATCTTTTTTTTTAAGATTTTATGTATTTATTTGACAGAGAGAGAGAGGGCACAAGCAAGGGAAGTGACAGACAGAGGGAGAAGCAGACTCCCCACTGAGCAAGGAGTCCAACGCAGGACTTGATCCCAGGCCCCTAGGATCATGACCTGAGCTAAAGGCAGCCGCTTAACCAAATGAGCGACCCAAGTGTCCCATAAGTAAATCTTAAAAACAAAACAAAACAAAAAACAAAAAAAACCTTGGTTCTACTGCTTTACCACTAGGTGTCACAGATTCATTACATTTATCCTCATATATAAAATGAGGATAATCACAAAATTAAAAAATGAGGAACGAGAAATTTGTTTTAAGAATGAGATGAAATCTGGTGATGGGTATTAAAGAGGGCACATTCTGCGTGGAGCACTGGGTGTTATGCACAAACAATGAATCATGGAACACTGCATCAAAAACTAATGATGTAATGTATGGTGGTTAACATAACAATAAAAAAATTATTAAAAAAAAAAAAGAATGAGATGAAATCATCCACATGAAACACATAATACTGTGCCTGGTGGAGACAAAACACACAGTTAATTTAATACTGCCTAAATTTCTTTCTCACTGTAATATTTGAAATTTTACCACTAGCAATTCCTTCCTCAAGGCTAGGTATTGCCCTCTCTGGGAAAATTTCATTTATTATTGCCATTGTTTCTCTTTCCTTTAGCTATTTTAATTACAAAGTCAGTATGTATTATTGTAAAATTTGAAATCACTCATTTACATAAAATTAGATCATATGATACATATTGTTTTATTATTTATTCTCTCAACCCAAGAATATTTCATAAATACCATTTCATGTCACAAATGTACTTTACGGGCACCTGGGTGGCTCAGTCAGTTAAGCGTCTGCCTTCAGCTCAGGTCATGATCCTGGGATCCTGGGACTGAGCCCTGCATCGGGTTCCCTGCTCAACGAGGAGTCTGCTTCTCCCTCTCCCTCTGCCCCTCCCCTTGCTCTTGTACTCTCTCTCTCTCTCTGTCTCTCTGTCTCTCTCTCTCAAATAACTAAATAAAATCTTTAACAAAAAAATATTTTTAAATATACTTTACATTAACTTTTATAGGACTATTTCAATATATTGATGACTATCCTTTATTTCCATTTTACCATCAAAACTAAGCAAGGTAAATATCATATGCTAGATGACAGGGTTGTTTAGTTTAAAAGCAATGGCATGTGTGCTGATTTATTTCTGTTACAGACTCAGCAGGGAATATGAAAGCCCTCCCTTTACATGACTGGCCCCTTTGTAGTTAGGTCTCAGCTCGAATACCATCTCCCCAAAGAGATCTTTCCTGACACCTTAGCTAATACAGCATGTGTCAACCCGGCAGTCACTCACACCTATTACCACTTTATCCTGTTTTAATAATACCTAACCACCATGGTTTGATATAAATATATATACTCTATACACATAATATATATATTCTTATTTATTATCTGCTTCCTGTCACTATACCTCCTCACATGCGTGTGGACACACACAAAAATACACATAAATGCCATGAAAGCAAGGACATTTCCTATCTTCTTCATTGCTGTTTCCTTACAGCCTAGAAAAACTGCAGGGACATCACAGGAATTCAGCCAGTGTTTACTGAGGGTTACAGAGTGAATTGTGCTCCTCCAGAATTCATGCAATTACAGTCCTAAGCCCCACTCTTTTAAGATGTGACTGTATTTGGAGATTTGGTCTTTAACTTAAAAATGAGGCCATTAGAGTCGCCCTAATCCAATCTGGCCAGTATCCTTTTCAGAAGAGATGAGGACATCCTAGGAGAGACACTAGGGTTGTGCCCACAGAGGAAAGGTCACATGAGGACATGGTGAGAAGGCCATTGCAAGCCAAGGAGAGTGTTCTCAGGAGAAACCAACCCTGCTGACACCTTGATCCTAGAGCTCTAGCTCTCAGAACTGGAAGAAAGTCAGGGTGCCTGGGTGGCTCAGTCGTTAAGCACCTGCCTTCAGCTCAGGTCATGATCCCAGGGTCCTGGGATTGAGCCCCGCAACGGGCTCCCTGCTAGGCTGGAAGCCTGCTTCTCGCACTCCCCCTGCTTGTGTTCCTGCTCTCGCTATCTCTCTCTGTGTGCCAAATAAATAAATAAAATCTTTAAATAAAAAAAGAACTGGAAGAAAGTCAATTTCTATTGTTTAAGACACCTAGCCTGTGCTAATTTTGTTATGGTAGCACCAGCAAACTAATACATTGAATACATAAATATGATTCAAAAGAAAAGAGGAATATTTGCCAAGCAGTATGGATTTCCCTGGAGAAAAAGTCTACAAAAGTATTTGACTTTAGACAATGTAAGCCCATAAGCAAATGAACCGAATTGTCCTAATGGGGACAGAACAGGTGTTTCGACTTATGTTTGAATAGAAAGGTGGCCCAACAATGTGTCAGCTCCCTCTGCTGCATTCCCATGGCTGGGGAAGGGAAAAGATGTTAATGGGTTCTAGAGACCTAAGCCCAGAACCTGCTCAAACACAGTAGCCCTGCAGTGGAGGGTCCTTAGATTAGAACAATATTGATGCCTGTGTGGACTGAGCACTCAATGCCAAGCCTTGGAAGACATTTGGAGATCCTCCTGGACAGGCTGACCAATAGGAATTGGACTAACCAGTGGCTGCCTTCCAAATGGACAACACATTCTAGAGTTTTTAGAAGTCAAATGAGCAGAGAGAGCCCAATGGACTGATTGGACTTATTACTGAATTTGGCTTATGGAGCTCAATCTGAATCTAATATGATTTAGAAAAATAAATATGCATGTCATTTATTAAACTCTGAGTATCATGGAATAAGTCAGGGCTACTACAATAATAACAACCCACATGGGTATTGCTCTTGGACTCTCTCCTGCCTTTCTTCCACTTACTACCCTCCAGAAGATGCTGGAGCTGCTTAAGCAGATTTAATAGGCCCAGGGATGGGACAAGGAGTGGTGGAGATGTGAACAGAAAGACCGTTACATTACGGGAACCAGTCTTTTGTCAGAGTGCTAAAGCCTCCATTGCCAGACACTTCCCACTCACCCCTCAAGTCTGAGGAATAGATAAAATATGCAAATGGAACTTTGCTCTGGGCACAACACTTGCCTGTCTCCCTTGGCTTCAAGGTGGGGAGCAGGATGAGGGGGAGAAAAAGGGCAGATGCCCCCATTTAGCCAAACAGCCATGGCCTGTCTACACGTCCACACCTCTGTCTCAGTGTGTTTTTCTGGACCACACAAATCCACCCTTCACTATCCAGAGTCAGTGATTCCCAGGCTCAGATAGTCAAGAAAGCAGTTCTTACTGGACAAGAAGAAATTGTGCCATGGGGAAAATATGTAGTTTAGAAAAAAATAATGGAGGAAAGGAGCTGGAGGTTGGAGAAAAGACAGCTCAGAATTTGACAATGTGGTTGAAGAGCAGTGAGGGACACTGGGGCCCAAGGTGGAGTTGACTATGAGTGGAGGAGAAATACCTGAGTTGTGGGGGAATAGTGAGGGGCTTGGGGTGAAAGTGTTAAAAAAAAAAAAAAAAAACAAGTGACTTGGAATCTGACCAAAATCTACTTTTCAGAACACTGAGAGGTCCAAAAGCCCCCAGTGTGGAGCAACACTATGGGGAATGAACTTAGTTTGAGTAGGGAAAGGGTCTGGTGTCAACTCCACGTTCATCAGCCAGGTGACCCGGGAGAAATCACTTAACCTCTGAGCTTCAGATTCTCTGTTTGCTTGCTTCAAGTTAACATAGAGGGTAATATTGGTTTCAGGAGTAGAATTTAGTGATTCCTCACTCGCATACAACACCCAGTGCTGAGAAAGCAGCGTTGCTGCCTACCTCATGGGGCTGCCCTGGGGATCAAACAAGGAGAAGGGAAGCTGAATGTTCTCCAGTAGAGAGCAGGCAGGCTCTAGAGTCGACTATCATGCTGAAATCCCATCTCTACAACATACTGGTCGTGTGACCTCGAACAAGTTACTCCACCTCTATAAGGCTCATTTTGTCATCTATGAAATGAGCAACCTCATAGGTGGTTGTTAAAATAAAGTCGAAAAAGATCCCTGAAAGACTTAGGCAATGTTTGGTATAGTAAGCATGAAGAAACTATTCACTATTATCATAATTAAAAACCAGTGGTGGGGTGCCTGGATGGCTCAATCCATTAAGCGGCCAACTCTTGATTTCAGCTCATGATCTCAGAGTGCTGGGATTGAGCCCCAAGTCTGACTCTGCCCTCAGCGAGGAGTCTGCTCCCTCTCTTTCAGTCCCTCCACTCTATCTCTCTCTCAAATAAATAAATAAATATTTACAAAAACAAAACCCAGTGGTTTGATAGGCTAATTGTTAATGAACTACGAGACTCTCTTAGAGAAATGGTTCAGAATGAAGATCATAACAGCTGCATAGACTTATCCAGCTGAACTTGGGAAAAGGTAGACCTGAATCCATCCTACAGGTCTGAGCCTAAAGCATGACATCATACTCTCACTTAGAGCTATTTTCTCTGCCTATAAAGTGATTCCTGCTACATTCAAGAAAACTGACTTCATACTATATTTTGGGTATAATAGTTTATTCTGAGGAGGAGCACAAAATATCAGGCCAAAGCTAGTCTTAAGGCTTTAGACATGGAAAACCCTCAAGCTCTTGGGTGTTCCCTTTTAGACAGAGTCAAAGCCACAAACACCTATCCAAAAATTTCCTCCCTATTCCCCAATTTATCTTCTACCAAGGATCACCTCCTCATAGTGTACCTATCCAGGGAACACTGCTATGTATTCCTCTTATCTGCTACCACAGGACTTCCTAGAACACCCCATGAGAAAGGGACAAAACTAAATAGCATATCTGGTGACATTACAGGGAAAGCCTCTATTATCGAGGCTCCACAACCCGAGTCAGCTACCCATGAGCACAGAGAGACATGTCATCCGCTCCTTAGTTGTGGCCCAGTGTGGAACAGGGCCATGGCAACGTCAAGCTCTGAGACCAGGGGCCAAGTGGAAGATTCATTCAATCTTGTATTTCTGCCAGGGAGCCAAGCATCAGGAGGGACCGGGAGGTACATTTTGTTCTCTGGGAACCTCTGGCTTGATTCCAAATAAACCTTCTCTTATATGGCATCTGCACCAATTCCCAAACTTCCAACGCTGTCCATATCTTCTGGTAGCCTTGAGGCCACCTCTGCCATTTTTAGATCTGTATTCGCGGGCAGGACAGAACCTTGCTGGTTCTCAGTCTCTTCCTCTATAAATGGAAATAATTTCATTCTGCATGTCTCACAATTAAAACACTTGTGAACAGTCAAATTCAAAACTCAATGCCAATGAAGATAAGCATACCACTGTTTGTGTGTGTGAAGGCTTGTTAAAAGCTGTCAGGCATGGTACAAATATAGCACCTTCCCACGGAGGTGTGAGCCCATCAGGATGAGAAGAGGTACCATCTGAGAGGCCAGAGCTCTGGGCAGTGGCTCTCCTGTTGTGGGGACACCAGCGTCCAGCCATGCCAGGCACTGGAAGAAGACATCCTATGGGCCCCTCCCAACCCCGTGAGCCCCACAGTGGCATTTTCTCCAGCTTCTGCTAGTTTTCATTTACTTCAATCCCCAGCCTACTTCCTGTCTCATCGCCAGACTTCTGGGCCTTTTTCACTTTGTTCACCACCTCCAGAACATCTACTCATTTCCACCTTTCAGAGAATTCAAACGTGGACTGTGCGCCCTCTGGCCCTTCACCACTCCAGAGCTCAGAGGAGCTGGGAAGGAGAAGTGTCTTTGCAAGACAAAGACACTCGCTCCACCTCTATTCCCCTCTGGCCAAGTTGTGCTTCAATAAATTACAGGGTTTTGTCTTGGTGGCTGTGGAGGTTCCCAAATTGAGGTCATTTCTGGGAAGATTAACTCTGTACTGAGCCCAGCACAATAGTCCCACTGCATCTAAAATAGAACATTCCAGAATACCCCCCCTTTCATTGTTGTGAATGATTACCAAATACTCCACCCTTTCACTATGTGGTAATCTCTCTACTTACTGCTGATTCTCTGATCAGAACCTAAATTTACCATTGTCCAGACCCTTTCTAATGTGTGATCTGGAGTATACAATCGGAGCTCAGGTTCTCAGCCCCTAGCAGGTGGGGGCAGTTTAATCACCACTGGTGCAGACTCCCAGGGCAACCAGGAGGCTGCTTAAAGAAACCCACAACAGTGTGAGTGACTATTATCCTAATAGTTGAGGAAGAGGAAGGATGTGGTATTGGGCTTCCATCGTCCAAATGTATCAGGCAAATGCCCACTTAACTCCTCTTTCCAAGTGCTCCTGTCCGCAAGCCTTGGTGGGAAGGAAAGCCAGCTGAAAGCCCAGACCCCCACAAAACTCTGCCTCTCCCTTCTCATCCCCTCTTGACAGTGGGATCCTGGTTCCCCAAAGCCTTGGATGTGACCTTCCTGCCCAGTGGTTTCGACTTGGGAGAAGGGTCTTCATGCGTACAGATACAAGACTTCTCTCTCCTCATGGGGGCTCCCAGTCACTAGCAGCCAGGTTTGCTTCCAGGAGCAGCCTTTGCTTAGAGTAAATTGAATAAATCTCCATGTCAGAGGAACCCAGCTGTTCTTCCTCCTCTTCTCATCTCAGACTAAGAAGGACCAGCTGTGATATATGGGGGCTTGGCTTCTTCCCTGCACCCCAGAATCCTCCCAGGAGTCCGTTGGTCTTCCTCTCTGCCCTCACAAGGTAAGTTTTCTCATCACCTGTGGGCCACAAATCCATAGATGGCCAAACACAACAGAGCTGACAAAAGGCTGAGGGAAGGGAAAGCTACAGGTGTGTTTGGGAGGAGCGGCAATCCTCCACTCTCACGTCCACTCTCTCCCTCACCTTGGGAGGTATAAAGGCTGTCCACCAGCCACTCAGCTCCTATACTTCTGCCATGATGAATCCACTCCTGATTCTTGCTTTTGTGGGAGCTGCTGGTGAGTTCCATGCATGACTTCGGGCCGCACTCACCCCCCTCCTAGAAGAGACCCCTGTTCTACCCTTGCTGCTCATCTGTGTTTACCTGGGCTCCGAGAGTCTATCTCCCATGTCCAGCAGCCCTCCTTCCCATGCTTGGGCTCTGTAAGCCTCACCCCTCCCACCTTGTGCTGACCCCACTCCCGACCCTGTCATTCATCCCTTTATTTCAGGACTTCATTGGGAGAGGTTGGAAAGGGAGACCAGGTGCAGGTGGTCCATGCAATGAACCGGGGGTCTTGAAGCTTAGTTCCGGCAGCTCTGGGATAGCTACCCTAGAGCTGTCCTCAACCCCAGGTACGCCGAGGGAAAAAACACTCATGCCAGAGTCCTAGACCTAGAAATTCTGACTGA